TCCAGACACTCCAAACCCTCCAATGCTAATGATAGTTAATTAAGACAGATTTTTACCACAGGAACATCATATGCATTTGTCTGTTGACAGAGAAACATAGTTTGAACCAAAACATCATATACTTTCAGGTTGTGTTGGCTGGGCTTGGTATACACACTCAGTGGTAACTAAGCCTGGTAATACAGAAAGGATTGGCAAATAATAATAAGTAACAATAAGGGCATTTATAATGCGCTTACTCCATTCACTGGGTGAATGCTCATAGCGCTAACAATCAAAGAGCAGCACATTATTACCCTGGATAACCCAAGTTGCTTGTGAGCTGCTAGAAGGTGTTATCATACTTCCCACATAATTTACAAAACCTCAGAGATTTCAAATACATAAGTTACAATGTTCATGTTTTAATATATTGCACAAGAAATCAAATGAAAGAAAAATGAAAAATACATAAGAAATCAAAGCATAAAAAGAACCCTTGCTAAAACTAGAATATAATGTATATGTTGAGATCCACAACCCAGACCCCACATACACCAAATTTTATCACCATACTGGATGATGCTCTTATTGGCATGGCAGTTGGTGAAGAGATGGGACTTAAGGTCATGGTGACACAGAGAATAGCTTCCAGGCACAAAGTCGGGATGAAAACTACACATGCTAGACATGTGTTGTATCAGTTGATGGTACACAATGCGTCTCACCACATTAAGTGTGCATTGATTTTCTCTCTATTTCTGTCAATAAGAACATCCCTGGTCTGATACCTTCTCAACTGTTTACCCATCCACAGCTAATCACCATGACAAAAATCAATGGACAGTGAAAGTCTTGGATAACACTAGATCAAACAGAGCTGTACAGGTTCTTCTCACAACCATGAAAAAATCATCAATCTTAATCAAATGTACAAAATTCCTTTCTATTTAGCATTTTGTAGTGTCATCAACTATGATCAAAGTTTCTTAAAAAAATAACATCTAAAATTTCATATTTGAAGACATATACTATATTGACTGAAGTATTTGTATTACAAAGGTATAAATTCACATGCACTTATTACCTCAGTTACCATGGTAACTTGCTTGATATTTAAAAGCAGTAACATCAGGTACTTTCTCAGTAACAGTAGGACAATATATCTTTCTTTATGTAAGATCAAGATCTATAATATTAAATACAATGGTTCACTGTTAATCTAATGACCATGACAAGCAAAATGTTTTCATATTAGTCGGTGATTGAGAAATTGAACAATAAACAAGATATTGTATTGCACAAATGTTGCAAGTTGTAACAGTGAAAATATTCTATAACTCTAAAAATAGATACATATGAAAGTCAGGAAAACAATTCAACATATCAATAAAAATATTTTGTTATGACTTTGGCAAATTTATATGTTTGCATATTATTTCTATGCTGCTCAGTCCATTAAGTTGTAAACAAAATTAAAAGTAGGCAAAAATATTCTGTGATGGTAACTAGGGCTGTAACGAATACACTATGTTGCGAATATGATACGTATCACAAATATTAGGTAACGAATACGAATAATTATTCACGAATACAATATTGTAGTTAAACGATTGATGCACAATATTGAATGCCAATGTTAACAGTGTTAATTTGTCTCAGCAATAACCAGTCATCTCATGACACTCAAATTTTGTAAGTAAAAATTATAGTTGACAGTAACATGTCCGCCCTTGGCAAACTAACATGACTTTGGCTACTAGAAGGCTAGTACATATTGCATTCTTGCATATCTCGATTTGAAAAAGGACATAGGGTTCAAGTAAAACACACACCCTTACAAAAATTGTAAATATTCATGAATATTCGGTTCTTAAGACCACGAATAACAAATTGAATTCATGAAGGGCTACGGTTCGATTCACCGAATATGCGAGTGAATCGTAACAACCTTAATGGTAACTTTTATATGGAGTGCCTTATTCCTGAACATTTACTGCAAGACATCAGTGTTCTTCATCCTCAGAGAGACATTTCTTCACTGGTGAACCTCACCTTTTTCTACCAAGTTCAATTTTTAGTCTGTCATCACTCAGTTTAGCTTAGTAAAGTGGGTACAGTGTTTTAAAATCTTGCAGTGTTCTAAATGTGGTTCAACTTCAATGTTTTATTTATATGTTTCTATCTGTTTTAAGTTTGCTTCTTAAATGTGAATTATTTGTTTTTTCATGAAGAGATGAGAGGAGTGACGAAGACATTCGATCACTTTTACTGACATTGATTAATGTCAAATATATATAGGAGGCAACTGAACTTACAGTACCATCTCATTGCATGTTTGGTCATAGTTATTGATTAATTAGAAGCATGTTCTAAAACATATTTTGTGAGATTGTAAAATATGTTTGTAGTAGAATTGAACAATGGATTTGATTACCTTCAATAGTTTGGGTTATAACGAACCAGTCTGCTCTACATGCCCAGTTGTGGCATTTGTTGAGAAAGTCCCAAAACATTATCGCAAAATTTTGTTTGTGATTTTTTTTAGGAATAAAAGTATCTATTTGCCTATGCAAAACTGAGTGAAACCCCCCAGCCTGTTATACAGAACAACTGAGTATTTTGTTGCAGTGACATGTTGCAGCACACCCGTGAAGATCCGGGTTAGAATTGATCTTCAGTAAGCCATGCTTGTCACAAGAGGCGACTAACGGGATTGACCGGTCAGGCTTGTTGACACGTCATTGTATCCAAATAGCACAGTACGATGCTCATGCAGTTGATCACTGGACTGTCTGGTCCAGACTCGATTATTTACAAACCGCCGCCATACAGCTGGAATATTGCTGAGTGAGAAGTAAAACTAAACTCACTCATGTAGCAGCATGTCATGCGGATCACAAGGTCAGACAGTACAAACAAAAAGCTTGTCTCATATTAGGACACTCCATGAGAGCGTGAGTAAAATGTGTCTCCCTGTACAAAACTATTCCCATGTAGATCTAAAGTCATCATGCTAGACTGGGACAAATGGAATGACCGAAGTCTTTTATAGGTGTTTACTTTCACATTTCACTAATTGTTTAAAGGTCACATGCAACCAAAAAATCAAACATAATTAAAACACAATTATCACTTATTCATGACATATAATTAGGGGTGGGTATTGCAGAGAATTTTCAACGACATTTCTATATCACCGTTAGAAATTCTGTCAACACTAAATAATGACATTTAAGTATCGTAATGAGAAAGTGACTCGGTAAGAAGAACGTGTGGCGAAATAGACAAATGAAATAATATAAACAGTTAAATCGGTAATTTACTGTCATAACATATAAAAAGCTCTCACCTGTGAAATATCAACAAAACACTAGAAAAATAGCTCACACCAAAGCCTTCACCGGGTATTCACCGCCAGCGAAGGTTTTCCGTCTTGAAATGTCGAACCCCTCACTGGTTGACACATAGCTGAGTAGATCTAGATCCTAACAAGGTTCTTTTATGTAATGAGTAGATTATTTACTATTTGTTTTGATTAGACTACTCCTGCTCACGACCTTATAATCCGGACAACCTTCCAAGCTGTGCGAACCTATTTCACTGCGCATGTGCTATGAGCGCAGCCCAGCTGTTGAAACCACTTTTCCCCAAGCGCTGTGGGGAAAATTAGTGAATCGTTTGAACTCCGATTTCGAGCGGTTTTTTTCATCGCATTATTTTTCAACTTTATAAGTTGAATTGGCATTTTCAACTATTTGTTTCGGTAAGTCCATACCCAAAGGTATCAGAATCTACAAAGTTGTGTTTTACGTTGCATGTGACCTTTAAAGGTTACCTACTTATCTATTTGTGTGACAATGTTTCGGTGCCACTTCTCCTGCTGCTGTAAGGTGTCAGAAAAATGGGGGATTGAACATACAGACCCCTGCAAAAGGTATTCGGACACTTGACGTAATTTCCATAGACTTACATGTTATTTCCATGTAGCATAAATAATTTTCATGAAGTGAGTTTACTTTTCGTAAGATCCAAGTCAAATTTTGCACATTTGTAAAGAATCATCGTACCTACAATCACATAATATCTGTTTAATTTTCTGTTGCTTATTTATCGAATGGCAATAATTTAATCAAGATATGTACAGTGCCGTGATCTCCTTTAACATGGCGGTCTATTGGATTGTGCATTGTGGAACGTAAATTGATAAATGTGATGTCATTAGTTAAATAGTGGTCAGAAAATTGAACTGAAATTATGTGCGCAGAGAAGAGATGTTTTCAAATTTGCCAGTCAAATTTTTCAAAGATCCATCCTAAACTCACTTCATGAAAATTATTTATGCTACACTGAAATAACATGTAAGTCTATGGAAATTACATCAAGTGTCCGAAAACTTTTTGCACAACCACCCCTCCACACATCACCAGCCAAGGACCCATCAGTGAACGCCTTTTCCAGTTCTTGATAAACATGGTAAAGATATTGATTCAAGGTGAATGAATCAGCATTTATGTAGACCTCAAGCACCTGCACTGGAACTACCAGTACTGGAAACCCTGCACTGACCTGCTCATTTCGTGCAAAACGTGAATTTAATGAGTCATGAATCAGCGTTTGTATGGATAATGGTTGATCTATGACATTAACGGCACATACCCATATAAGGTTAAGTACGGTAATGACAAAGGAAAAACAAGACGCGCCCCTACTTGACGAGACTATAACCTTTTTTCGGAAGTTTAAAAAGACCCGTTGTTTTCTCAATTATAGTATGAACAATTAAATAAACACGTTGCTCACTTATTAAAGACAACAGAATCAAACTACCATCCGAGTATTTGCAATGTTTTGGTGACGCGATGCGCCTCGTTACAACGAGAATCAACACTGTCATCCGAAAAGGTAAGATGTTGGATAAAATATAGAAGCTAATCCGAGGAGACACATCAACGTAGAAAGACAAAAAAAGGTAGATTTACATACTGTCCCTGATATAAGAAACAAAACAAGAATATTACCAGTAAACGACGTGCACTTTCACTTTGCCCATGTTGGTTTCTTTGCTTTTCTTTAACAACACACCTCAGCAACAGTACACACGCCTGCACCTACAATGTCACCGCACTCAATGAATCATCCGGGCAACACCATGGGAGATAACTCTGATGTGTCGTGCCGTGTAGCTCAATGTGTACAATATTGTCTTGAAATAGTACAGGTGTTGCCATCTGATCAATACATTTTACAGTTTTTAATTTACAGGTTATGAAAGTGCCGACAAATATGTCCAGGAGGGTTCACTGGATATATGTTACGAATTATTATGACTGTACCAATTAATAGTACAGGAAGCACTTAATTGCTTGATAACGCACCGAAACGTCGCACTCATTGCAATAAAGAAGTTGACTATCCATAGAACATGGTTTTCCTTCATCTATACAACTTCTAAAATGCCTCTCAAAGAACAATGAATAACCAACGGTTATTTTACAAATGTAATAATATAGAGTATATATATTCTCAATATACCAATCACACACCAAACAAAATACATTTTAAATAGCAACAGTCATTAACAGAAATTATTGCAAGAACTCCCTCCGAATAGATGATACTATTTTATAGTTCTGTATAGCCTACTCTTTACTGATCTCTCCTTTGACATAAAATAATTATTATTCAACATTACTTTAAGGGACAGTACCCTTTATCGTGGTTAGTACTGATATTCCGTTTCCGAAGAAAGCCGCACAGTTTTTTTATTTATTCATTCATTCATTCATTTTACAAGCTACTTCACTGTATCTTACCATTTATCCATTTATGGATTTTTTCCAAGTTTTCTATTCTGTGAACCGTATATCATTAAGCTTGTATTATGTTCTTAGAACGTCGCAAAAAAATGAAGTGATGTTTGATAACGGTGTTAGTATTTACACCAAAACGTTGTATACGCATAGAATTATCTCCGTTGTTGAGACAGATCGTGTGTATTTAAACATCGATATATGATACCCCGTTCACATGCATCTGTTTCCTTGTGTGTGAATATTTGTATTCCTGTCAGCTCAACATGCTTACTCATGACTAGTCATGAGTATATGTACAACAGGGGCAAATGTATACCGTAGTCCTCATAGTATAAGTTCGGTCGCTTGGAAAACTGACATCACGGGCGTTTATGAAAATCACACGCAAGACAATATGACGAGTTTTGTACATTTTCGATATTAGTTTGGAATGCTTATAGATATGGGAGCAGGACAAAAGCCACCCGGACAAATGCCACCCGGACAAAAGCCACCCGGACAAATGCCACCTAGGACAAATGCCACCCGGACAAAAGCCACCCGGACAAATGCCACCTAGGACAAATGCCACCCGGACAAAAGCCACCCGGACAAATGCCACCTAGGACAAATGCCACCTAGGACAAATGCCACCTAGGACAAAAGCCACCTAGGACAAATGCCACCCGGACAAATGCCACCTAGGACAAATGCCACCTAGGACAAATGCCACCGGGAGAAATGCCACCTAGGACAAATGCCACCTAGGACAAAAGCCACATAGGACAAAAGCCACATAGGACAAATGCCACCCGGACAAATGCCACCTAGGACAAATGCCACCTAAGACAAAAGCAACCCGGACAAATGCCACCTAGGACAAATGCCACCTAGGACAAAAGCCACCTAGGACAAATGCGACCAGGACAAATGCCACCTAGGACAAATGCCACCTAGGACAAAAGCCACCCGAACAAATGTCACCTAGGACAAACGCCACCTAGGACAAATGCCACCTAGGACAAATGCCACCTAGGACAAAAACCACCTAGGACAAAAACCACCCGGACAAATGCCACCTAGGACAAATGCCACCTAGGACAAAAGCAACCCGGACAAGTGCCACCTAGGACAAATGCCACCTAGGACAAAAGCCACCCGACAAATGCCACCTAGGACAAATGCCACCCAGTTATTTTACCAAGATTTTGTTGTTAAATTATGTAGCCTTGGATGAATAATTTGGTTTCTTATAAAAAAATATTCACTTTGAAAAATGTTGATTTTGATGTAACGTTATGTAGACTTCGATGGATAATTTGGTTTCTTAAAAAAATATTCACTTTGGTGAAAAAGTTGATTTTAATGTAAAATTTTGATTTCATAGTAATGTTGACTTTAGATATATATATTACAAACTGATCTTGAATTTGGTCGGGGGCGTTTAGAGGAACAAAGGGCTGAACCTAATTTGATATCCTACGCTTAACATGGGCAATTCGGTAGATTGACTAGGATGTACCTCCACTTGTCCTCTTGAAACGCGTTGTTTTCTTTACTTGAAAAACAAAACATTTAACAAAACAAATTTTATAGAAAATAAATGTACAGAAAAGCCTACGTGATCGCAAATTTGAAAAATAGATTTTCTCATTACTGTGTTGTGAGGTCTATATTTGTGTGTTTGTTGCATAACGCCGAACAACCCAGTGACGGATATCATGAGCAACAATCCACGACGTCTAGGTACGATGACACGCTATCAACCAAGTCTCTCTGGGACTGAGCACCGATCTATTTTGTTGCCTCTTAGGATGTCGGGTAGCAAATCTAGACAGACATCAAGACAGGGTTAATTGCAGTAACGAGACAGTGTAAGATGGGAACTGGCCCGATTTCTCGAAAGAAAGTTAAGTTGAAACAGCCGAGTTTCAAACTCAGTTGCATTTCTGAGGCCAAAAAGTCCAAACAACTCAAATAACCTATCTACCAAACACAAACTGTCCACTAAGTTTACATTCAAAATCATTTCCAGTTCATTCTGGGAAATGTACTTTCCTGTGTTTTCTCAAATATGAGTAAAAACTGTAATTTAAGTGAAAACTCAGACTCAAATTTGTTTCGAGAAACATTACATAAGGAAGTTAGGATTTGATGACGTCTCCTGATAGTTATTGTCTGTCTCACAGTCCCTGAACTGCATTATTTTCCCTACTGCCTAGCCCTCCCTGCAATGCTTTAAAGCCCTAAATGAAGCAAGTTAGAATTCTTCAGGTTCTGAATCCCCCATCACATTAATTAAGCCCCCTTTTCAATTTAAATGGGATTATTTGCTTTAATATCAATATAAACATATAAATATTCAGAGACAAAGCATTATTTAGTCAGGCTACTGAAACTTGTACAATATGTTTTCAGTTTGTGTATATTTCGGGTACTGAAGTGAACGGTAATTAAACTCCAATTAGGCTATGATTACACAATGCCCTTTAGACTGCGGGCTTTGTGTACCCCTCTGATAAGACTAGTGTTAATTGTTAAGTGTTATTTGGCACCGCTCCATTTTTGTGGAAGTCGCGGTGGCTGAGCGGGTTAGGCGGCTAACTTTGTGTGCTGACTCTGAGGTTGTGGGTTCGAATCCCGGAGGTGACTCAACCCAACAAAAGCACTAGAATCTGTACTTTACTAAGAAAGTGTAATCCCAAATATAACATATGTTCCAATTAGGCTGTCATTAATTTTGAACAGTGTTCTCATCTCCCGTCTGCCCTGAATTATCACTCTGACGTGAATTTTAAAAAAAATGGCTTCTTGTATCAATTTTCAAAAACACATTTTCAGCAAGTCAGCTTGACCTCTCTTAGACAATATTTATTGTTCATTATTTATAATTCCGAAGCAAAATGACGCGGTATACATCATAATAAATCTTTACAGAATTTACCAAATCATCGAAACCAAAGAATTTCATAAAATACACTATGTTATTTATATTTTTATCACCCGCCCGTTCTCTTGTTTGTTGAAGGAGGAAACACACAAAACTAAAGGGATGGCCTAATGTTTAGCTGGCTGGCTGGTCCGTTCATGTCTTCCTGTTATGACGACTATTTCAATACACATACACTATGATTCAATGACAGCTATTTCCACCTATCACCCCTGTGTGTACATGATTCTACTACAGCGTGTGATACTCACAGACCACGTTGTGCGGTGGGATAGCCTAGTGATTAAAGCGTTTGCCCGTCATGATAAGACCTGGGTTCTATTCCCCACATTGGTACAGCGTGTGAAGCCCATTTCTGGTGTCCCCCGCCGTGATATTGCTGGAATATTGAATTGCTAAAAGCGGCGTAAAACTAAACTCACTCACTCACTCGTAGACCATGCAATTTGGAGGCGAGTTACGAGTTCAGAAATGTTTAAATGTTTCAAGAACCATACATAAAATCACCATCGTCTTAAATGCTGATTTTATACAGTTAAGAGGCAAGTTCACATTTCGTGCTTTCTTTAGTAAAGTAGTCATAGCTATAATTTTGGTATTCCCTTTGTGAAGACTTTTGAAGGTCTCTCGATAAAATGTTCTCTGTCATTGGTGTGAATATATAGACTATAGGAACAAATAGTAAATCGAAAATAACATTTTTCATTATGGCATTGTTCAGCCAATATATACATGGGCACAATACTAAGGACGACCGGTCAATTCATGGCGTTCATTGCGTCCCCACATAGGAATTGGCTGAGTTGTTAATGTAGCAGTTAGATATCGATTCTGTTGATGCACCAAACGAATATGGTTGACTTGTTGAGATGACATCACATGTCGACCACCGGCAGTGGCAGGTCATGACTGTTGCCCGACATTGGAGATATATTTGTCCTGACAGATAATATTGTGCTTCGATGAATGTTAAAATATCTGCTAAATTCGTTCCAGTTTACAAGATACCTGGGCGCTAAGACGTTCGGTAAGATCTGGTATTACGTAAGCGTTTCATATGGTAAAACAAAAAATGTTTGCTGTTCCAGTTATAGCATAACGTGTATGATAATGATGCTCCAAAAATAATCCAAATTGTGCACCATGGATGAACATTACAGTTGATGAGATTTCAGTCTCATATATGTATAATTGAGAGGTGTTGTTTAATTTTAAAATCAACTTATATCTGTTTGACGCTATATGAATAACACTCTTTTTACTGTTAGTATATATTTAAACAGAGATTAAGTCAGATATGTTGTTATTTATTCAGTCACGTGACTTCGACCTGCATGCAGTAATCTTAAAGCCGAGAGTCATATCCATCGGTGTGGTTCGGCTTCAAGGGGCGGTGGGGGT